AAGGAGCCTTGAGCCCCGCATCTGTTACCACATCTTTAAAGTTACCCACACCCATGGACAGAATGGCTCTAACAATGGGGGGGTATGGGATCAGGGTGTGTTGAAACAGCCCACTAGTGCTTTGGAAAAGTCTGTGCTGTACATTTGTGCTTGCTCAGTCAGAAAACGCTTGCCTGAAAGGCCACTCAGCTGCAGGTGTGGTCGGCCAGTGCGAGAGCAACGAGTCTTGCCCGAGCAGCGGCGCAGGTCCACAGGAGCGCAATTCCACAGCAAAAGTTTTGTGGGCTTCTTCCACTGGCAGCCGTACATACACATGTGCACAGTCACCAACTGCACTTTTGGATGTTTCAGCAGTCTTTGAATTTGAGGGGTATCCCACACAAAAGACGTAGCTGGGTTTTCCAAGTAGCCACGGGTACCTAAACGTAGGCAGCGGCGAATCAGGCGAACCGACGCAAAGAACATGCGATTTGCAGCCTGAACTTTGAGAAAATCAGCAGTCTCAAGGTGGGGCAAACCAAATAGAAAATCTGCACTTCGCAAAGGCTTTGGCATTCGAGACCAAGGTGGCGCGCGCCTAGCCCTTGACCATGTGTTGCACGGGAGGTCCACTCCCACACAGTCAAAGAAATGCAAGGCTCGAAAAACTTGATTCCAAATCGAAAACTTTGAAAGGTCATTGGACAGGGAGTGGGATAAATCAACCAGCAAAGACAGACCACCCAAATCAGCGAACTGTTTTGCAGGGTTGCCCGCTCCCCCAAACAGACTTAAGAATGCTTTCTTTTGGAGCTCTGGGCCTTCTGCCGCACCTGCTTTGGGATCTCCCGAAACCCAGTGTGGAACCAACGAAGAAAATTCTTTCTCACATTCTCTCCGAAATCCGTCAGCCGATTGCCATGCTGATTCACGATTTGTTGAAGTCTCCCGGGTTTGCTGTAGATTCTGGAGCTGCTGTCGCTTGCCCACCTCCCCCTCCGTTGAATGTTCCCCACACTCCTCAGTCTGAGAAGGTGGTCCCGGCTGGCGCCTCCATGACGATTCTGGTAGGGGGTCTCCGCCACGTCTTCCACCTCTAGAGCTCTCACACACTGTCGCCAAGTCTCCAGGTACTTGCGGGCTGTGAAGGGCCACAGCTGTCCTCCTTCTCCTACTTCTTTGCTCCTGCGAGCCGCCAACTGGTTCAAGAGCTCCCCCAGCCATGGAGCGCGGCTGTCGTCCAGGATCAACGTCTCGTCGAAAATTCCGGCTTTCGATGTTTCCCCTCGTTCGATTGGGTTCAGAATCAACACGTCGAAGTTGTGTCCTGGGGCACGCGGAACCACATCTACTGGTCGAAGCCTGAGCAGCTCTCCTGGTCGGGCATAAGTTGAAAATGAGGTTTCGTTGAACAGAGACATTTCCCGCTCCCCCATGTCCATCATGAGACCACTGATGCAGCTCTTGAGGAACTCCATCATGGGAAGGCGTGTTTGCTGCGGCGCTAATTTGCGCCATCCCTTCATGGCTCGCTTGAACCTGGGCAGCATCAGTTGGCCAGACCTGATCCCCTCTGGCCGTTCGTACTCGAGGGCAGCTTTCAACTTTTCTCCGACATGACACCCCTCCCCATCGAGGAAAAGCTCGTCGGCATAGTCGCACATGGCTATGTCTAGCTCGCCTTCGGTGCGAATGCTCAGGTTGTGAAATGCTACGAAGTTGTAGAATTCTTCCAGCCTCCGAGAGTATTCTTTCCTTTGTGGCTCTTTCACGGAGTGGATCTCCAAAATGGTCCTTTCCCCTGCACTTGCTCTCAGCTTGCGCACGAACTTCTTCTGTCTTTCTGTAGCTTTCCTCCTCTTCTTCTCTACTGACTTTATCTGCTGCCTCAATCCGCTGTTCATAACCTTGACTCCTGCACTTTCCCTCGCCCTCGAAGGTGACCGACTCCTCTTCCTCTTTCGGCCTGCCTCCAGAGAAGGGCTTCGCATCCTCTGGTTTGCACGCACAGCCTCTGTCTTGGAAAAAATTTGCACCTCTCTTCGGGGCTTTGCGCTTTTCGAAGTCTTCAGCTCGTCTCTCACTCTCCCATTGGCGACTGCCCTTGTCAGCAACATTTAGTTCTGAAGCCAGCCACCGAATGTGAAAGCGTTGCCCCGTAGCCAGGGCATGAGCCGATATCCTACGAATAATCCGAAGCAGACCATAGTTGTGACATCTTCCCTTTTGTAAAGCCAAGACCACCGACATGTTGTCATTGAGTATGAGAATCTTCTTTCGATGACGGTGGTGGTCCCGGCTTCTGTGCTTTACTGCTGCTAAAATGGAGCGGGCTTCAATCATGCGTACTGGTTCTTTGTGGGTTATATGGGAGTTCCAGAGAGGATGCCAGGCTTTCTCGTTCATGAAATCATGACCAACTTCGGGAAAACCAGCTACTAATTCCAGATCGCCAAAAACCTCGCCAGTAACTTCAGGAAGCACTGTCTTGGGGTCCTCAAAAACTTTGGAGGTGTCCAACGCTTGACTGCGAGGCGCAACCTTTCTGCCATCTCCCCACCTGAACCGCCATCTCTCGTCGTAGCGGCCAAGCGAAGCCACTTCCTGCGAAGAGTGCTGCGATTCCATCACAGCATAGCCCGACAAACAAGCATCGGTGCAAATTGGTTGGCCATCCCAGGCAGCAAAAACATTGGCAGTACCTAAAGCCATCAGCCCTCTAAAAATACGAAGTTCCAAAGCGACTGAAGCCCAAAGCCTATGCCTCTGGTGGTAAAATCTGCGAATAAAAACATATGCATGCCGAAGGATGCTCATGAGCCCCCGGTGTAAAAGAGCTCGAATCGTCATGTGACCCACAATCACTTCCAGCTCTTGCCCCGATATGCGAGGCCTTGCAAACGCCAGTCCTTCCAAGGCACGATCGAGCCTCCAGTCCCTCGCCGCTGTGGTCCCCACCTGGCCGGTGGCGCCATTGATCCGGATCCCCAAGCTCTCTGCGAGGGAGACTGGATCAGTGACTTCGTGAGTTTCCAGTCCATGCGAGTGCAAAGAACCAATCATGTTTTTCTGTTCTTCCAACAGCTTCTCCCTCTCTATCCCTATGTGGTTGTTGTTGTCAGCATAGATCAACAGGGCTGATGAATGCTGCCCCCTCCCATGTCCCAGGATCGGCGCTGGCCGCCGGTCTTGAAGTATCCCGCAGTGAGGCAAACACCTGGCCGACAGCTCAACATGCGCCATATGCGCCAGGTGGAATGACCACGAGAACCCCATGGGAAGTACTTGAAAAAAGGGATGAATAGGAGCAGTGTGTCGATCTAGTAGCTCTTCCACACCAGGAGGAAGGAACCCCAAAGCATCACGAAGTTGGACTGGATCAATTGCGGGGAGAGCAAAATATTCACCTAGGGGACGATGAATACGAAGCCGATAGAAAAAGTCTTTGACATCTTCTTGTGCCACGAAGAACTCGGCACCGGGCTCGTCAAACTCCAATCTAGTCCACGTATCTGCAGACCCCAAAAGAGTGGAAGGGGGAGACCGAAACAGTTTGTTTGTGCGTCTTGCGTCCACCACCAAACGTTGCTTTCCTGATTTCTTGGCAACACAAAACACCCCCACTTGAGACTTGGGTGCAATGGTGAAATCCAACAATTTGCACGCAAAGAGGTCTGCGACAAACGCATGGTACTCTGTTTGATCTCCTTCGAGCACTGGGTCAAGGTATTTGTCGCGGCTGAAGCCTCGCTCCAAGACACCGGCCATCTCCTCATCGGAGAGAAGCATTGAGTCAGCAAAATGCTCCAGTTGTTCTTTTTCTTTGGCTGGAAGCAGGTGACTCAACTGTACTGGGTCTTGCTGGTCTCTTGGGAGCGAAAGCAGCGCCCTCTGATAGGCCACAACCTGGCCTGGGGCGTCCCCCGACTCATAGCCTGAGGACACCTTCTTGGACAGCAGCTGCCGAAGCGCTGCCTGTGGGGTCTCCCTCTCCGGGGGTGGAGGCCTTTTGAAATGGGCCTCACTCACCACCTGCAAAGCAGACTTTTGGGAAAAATTTGTAGGAGAGCTTGGCCAAGACGACTCATCGGCAAAGCCTGCAAGGTGGTTCAAGCACTTCACAGTCTCGATCTCCCGGGATACAAGCAGCCTTCGCTTCTGTACCCTTTGTCTCGAGCGCCGAGAATGCAAGGCAGAGACATCTCCCACGTAGCCATCATCCCTCGGCAGCGGCAGTGGGAATAGATCCCCAAAACGCTGCAAAGGAGCATTGGAAAACATAGTGGTGCTAAAAGGTAGTTCGCACCTCCGACCGGCACCCTCGATCGGAGGCGGCCTCTTCTTCTCAGGGCTTTCCTGGGGCTTTGCCCCCATCCTCCTTCTCCTTGTTGCCCTTGCCCTCGCCTTTGCGACTGAGTCTCTTCTCCTCACTTGCCAGGCGAGTCTGCTTCATCACCTCCGCTTTGGTTGCTTGTCTCTTTGCCGCAAAAGCCGCCAAAGCTGGGTCAACTATCGATCCATCAGCACTTTCTCTCACTCCCAGGAAATCCTCTGCGCCTTCGTACGAAGGGGCATCTGGTCGCCCTTGGTGAGCATGTTCGATCAAAGTCCGACGCCTATTCAGAGCTTCAGCAGCCGCAATGGCCGGCAAGTTGAGCTGGTCGTAGCACATCATCAGGTTCAGCGCCCGGCAGACCGAAGAGTGCTCGTGGACTGACCTGTCAGTGGGCCTCACACCACTCTTTTTTAGCCAAGACTCGTGATGCTGAACAAAGTCAAGCCCCAATCGGCGAAGCTGGCGAGTGTCATGACTGACAGTGCGAGGACCCTGCAGGGGGTAATCGTCAAACTCCACGTCCTCGAATTCCGGCACCGCCTCCGACACAGTGCGCCACCTTTCCTCGGCCGAATCGAAGATGACTGGAAGGATCCGAAGATCCCGTTCTGCCGGAGGCTCAACATTGACCCCAGCAAGAGCGGCTCTTTGTACCAAGTGGAAATCCTCATGACGAACCCCCCTACAAAGCACCTCTCGCCCATCATCACTGAACATGCTGAACTCTTTCCCACCAACGAACAACCTCTGCACGTCAGCTCCAATCGCCATTTCATCACCTACCCCTCGACCATCTGAGGCGTAGACCACCAGCCACCGCTGTTCCCCTTCGGGTCCTTGCTCCGGGGGCTGTTGGTGAGGAGGAGCTTGGGCTTGAGCCTCCGGAGACACAACACCTTCCGGTTCCTCTAGTCTTCCCACAACACGTCGACGAGTACCATCAGCGGCAAACCGTCTCTCTGCATTAGACATCAGGGTCCTCATCTCATCGTGCAGGATGACACCATTCGGAGAGTGCTTGGGCAAGTAGGTCTCCCGCTCCCGGATTCCAGCGGGAAGCTTCCCACTTGTCATCTTCCTGATTTCAGAGTACACTGATCCAGTGGCAAGCCTAGTTGACTCCAAGTCTCTATCTGGGGTCAGCACCACCACGTTGTCTCCATACAAGCACAGCATCACACATCTCCAGTGAAGCAAAGTCGGGTCACTGATGTATCGAACGAGCACGCAATCTTGCGGCAGCCAGTTCTTCCGAAGAGGTCCCGCCGCTCTCATCGCTAGACACTAGGTGGCCTACGCCTCCCTTCTTTTTGGTCACCAGGGTGACTGGGCGCCCCGCCAATGGGGTGCTAGGAACTTCTTGCTTGAATCTCCCAAACCAGAAACCCAGGATCAACCCGAGGACAAGGCACAGAAATGCAAAAAAGATCACTGACCAAATGGAATGACACTCGTTTGACCTTCTGATTTCACAATCCACCACCTGCCTGGAAAGAGTGCTCGAATGATTCTGGCAGCTCGCGAGATACTGGTCGAGGATGGTACTCTTGGCTTCGCACCCAGAGGTCTTTGCAGCAGCACCGCTGTCCAAACGCCGCACCAGGTCCACCACACTCACTATGGCAACCCGAGTGAAATCGACGGCTAGAGTGCGGGCGGCCTCCCTCCAGGACATTTGAGAAGAAAAGGACTAGACATGTAAGACAGAAATTCGAAGTGCTCTAGCTATTATGCCCTTTGGGCTCCAATACACAGTAGTTCTACATCATTCTACATCATTCTACATGACTTCAATGGCTCGGTTTGGCCTCTCCACCTCTCCCCCCCGGCCTCGGAAGTGATTAAAAGCAAAGGAGAGCCTTTCCACCTCAAAGCGTCACAAGTCACAAATCTCATGGACGGAAAAAGAACAGTCGAACTGGAAGATTATCTCTAATTACACCTTCATGATTCATTGATGTTGATGATGATGATGATGATGATGATGATGATGATGATGATGATGATGATGATGATGATGATG